ACAGCAGGCGCTCAGGAAAGCCTTGTCCCGCGACCTGGCCGAGTCCAGCATGTGCACTCACGGGCCCCCTTGGAGGGAATGCTGAGCACCTTCAGGGAAGCGCCGTGTGTCCTGCTGGCGGCCCTACGATACTAGCATCGAAAACATTCGTCAGGAAAAGCTCAGCCTGGCAGAGAAGTCCAGGAAGTGGAGCAGCCTCCACAAGTGTCTGGGGTCCCTTGTCCTTCATCCACGTCCTTGTGCTAGCTTAGCCCAGTAACACGGCTTCTGATGGCTGTGGCTGTGGTGTGTTTCGAGAATTGCTGAGGGTGTTCTTCCCAGTCTTACTCCTTGTCAGGACTTTTTCAGCTAGTCTCACACACTTAGCTCTTCAAGAATCAATCACCCATCCATCCGTCCCTCCTTTCCTCCAACAGTCATTGAAATGGTGCTGCCAGAAAACATCTCTTTGTCCTTGTGGACCATACCTTCCAGTGCAGCACCAGCGAATTTGTGTAAAGTGCCGGAGAGTAAAGACTTTCAGCCGGCCACGCGGCCTCTGCCCCAGCTGCTTAACTGGCCAGAGCAGCACAAATGGAGCAACACATACACGCGTGGGCGTGTCTGCATGCCAATAAAACTTTATTTACAAAAACAAGTGGTGGGCCAGATTTGGTCCAAGGGCTGTGATTGGCCAGGTCTCCCCTTACTGATTCCTGGCTGGACTGGTCTTCCCAAGGTTTGGGGGAGCTGATCGTTTAGAATATGAAGTCTGTCTGGGAACACGTCTCTTTCCGTGTATCCAGGGCGTGTTTGCGTGTCCTTAGGAAAGTGGCGTAATTTCTCAAGTAGCTTGTGCGTGTTCACTGCGAAGTTTTTGCTTAGTTACTTTTGTTTTTTTCCTCTGTTGTGAGTAATTTCTGTTACTTTTTTTTCTAGCTGGCTCTTTCTGGGGAGCGATAGACTTCTTGCATGTGTATCTTTATCTGATGTGAACGAGTTCTTCTGAAGCCATCTTCATGTTGGTAATTTTTCAGCTGTTTCTGTGGTCTGGCGCTGTCCAGTAGGCTTTTCTGTAACGACGGGAAGGTTCTAGCTTTGTGCTCTCTGGGCCTGGCCACAGTCACACGTGGCTGTTGAGCACTTGAAGTGAGGCTCTCGCAACCGAGGAACTGAATCTTCTATCTCACTTAATTTTAATTTAGACTTACATAAGCCCTGTGTGGCTAGCAGCAGCGACGCCGGACGGGGCAGTCTTAGAATTTCAGACGAGAGAATCGCGGCATGGGCAGTCAGTTTCTCTTTCCCACTCGTGTTTCCGCCTCGTGTTGTTCTCTGTTCCGGCTGCATTTCCGACCGTCCAGGCACTGCTCCGTGTCAGAGATGTTGTTTGCAGTTAAATGTGGGCAGTGACGCTGGTCTCTGACAAACGCTCTTTAACAAGAGAACAAGTTCCTTTCCATCCCTTGTTCTCTGAGAGCGTCCGGAAGTCTGGGTGGGGGGTGCTACCGAGAGCTTTGGCTGGAGTCCGGTTTGTTTGATTGACAGTGGGCTGCGTGGAGAATCTCTGCACTGGTGGGACACCCGGTGGCGCCTAGCTTGGGGGAGCTGCCGTCACCCCAAAAGGCCCCTGTCTCCACTTGCGCCAGCCCTCCTCCCAGCCCGAAGCCCGGGCAATCGGTGATCTGTTTTCTGTCTCTCTAGTTACGCTGTTTTAAGAAATTTCCTACGGGAGTGATGGAATCTGTGGGCTTTGGTCTGGCTTCTTTCACTTAGTGTCCTGTTTTTGAGGCCCATCCACGACTTTGCATCAGCAGCATGTTTCTGTTTCTTGCTAAAGGAAGTCACTGCTGAACTCCACTGCATGGGTGGACCGCAGCTGGTCCAGTCCCCCGTTGGGGGCGTCCGGGTTGTTCCCAGCTTTTCCCGACGGGGAGCGATGCGGCCGTGAACGGCCGTGTGGAAACCTGTGTGTGGAGGCGTCACTCCCTCTCTTGGGCAGATACTCAGGGCTTGGATGTTGGAATTACAGGGTGACACTTGTATGTGACATTTTAAGAAACTGCCAAGCTGTGCTCCCAGGTGGCCTCCTCGCGGTGCCCCGGCCTGCACGGTGTCTTCGGCCTCAGAGGTGAGCTGGGAAGCGTCCCCGCCTCTCCTCTCGGGACGAGTTTGTGCAGCGTTGGTGTTACCTCTTCGGGCGTGCTTGGCAGCGTTCCCCTGGGAATCGTCTTTTCCTTGTGGGAAGACTTTTTTGGGGGAGGGGGAGCTAGGGTTATTTGTTTACTGGGATTGAACCCAGGGCCTTGCGCACGCGCTCCACCCTCCCTGCCGTGGGGGGTTCCATGCCTGCTTCACTTACTTGTTACCCGTTTGCTTAGGCTTCCCCCCTCCGTGAGTTCTGACAGTGCGTGTCTTCGAGCACTTCAGGGCCTTTCAGCCGTGATTTTGGTAACCTGTGTCTCTCCCTCTTCTTGGTCAGTCTCTCCAAAGTTCTCGCCATGGTTGACTTCCCCCCAAGAGAGCAACCTTTCGGCTTCGTGGGTCTGGCTCTGTTTTCCCACCCCCGGTTTCAGAGATTCCTGCTCGCACGTCTGTTGCTCCTTTCGTGCTTTGGGTCGGACTTGCGCTTCATTCTCCAGGTCCTTGAGGCGGGAGCGCACCGCGTGGACTGCAGGTCTATACTGATGCGTGTGTGCCGTGCGCCTCGGAGCCCTGTTGCGGCTGCACCCCTGACACTCTGATGAGCCGTGTTTGCATTTTAGTCCGTTCAAGAGCCTGTCTAGGTCCCCTTGTGTTCCTTCTCTGACTCGAAAGGCTGCTTAGAAGGGTTGGTCCGTTTCCAGATACTTGGGGACGCCTCCGATGTCTTTCTGTTGTTGGTGCAGAGTTGAACTCCTCCGTGTGTGGCTGCTCTCAGGGCTTCCACGTGTCTGGGTGTGGCCTTGGGCTGGCGTGCCCCTGAGAATGGGCCGGCGTGCTCGAGGGGAGCCTGCCTCCCGCCCCGTCGGCGGAGGTCCCGCAGC